TAGGAATGCCCCAAACTACTCACACATCAGCAGGGCCCATTTTTTTCTACCACAACCAACATATAATGTTATCACACTTTTTCATCTTTGCCAATAAACAGACATCTACACATCTACATGCTGTTTAAATTTTCATTTCTTTAATTATGACAGAAAGTTGAGCATCTTTCCTTAAGTTTATGTCATATGTATTTTAATTTCTGTAATTACTTGCCCGTATCTGTCACTCATTTTCCTACTAAGTTGCTATCTTTTATTGATTTGAAGAAATTCTTTTCAACTATGGAAATTACCCATTGGGGGGCACCTGGGTGGCTCAGTTGGTTAAGTGACTGCTTTCGGCTCAGGTCATGATCCTGGAGTCCCTGGATCGAGTCCAGCATCGGGCTCCCTGCTCAGCAGGGAGCCTGCTTCTCCCTCTGACCCTCCCCCCTCTCATGTGCTCTCTCTCATTCTCTCTGTCTCAAATAAATAAATAAAATCTTTAAAAAAACAAAAAAGGAAATTACCCATTTGTTTTATTGCTGCACGTATTTCCCAGCTTTTAACTTGTCTTTTGACTTTGTTTTATAGTACATTTAATCGTGCAGATATTCTAAATTTTTTTTTTTAAGATTTTATTTATTTATTTGACAGAGAGAGAGATCACAAGTAGGGGGAGCAGCAGAGGGAGAGAGAGAAGCAGGCTCCTTGCTGAGCAGGGAGCCTGATGCGGGGCTCGATCCCACGACCCCAGGATCGTGACCTGAGCCAAAGGCAGATGCTTAACCGACTGAGCCACCCGATATTCTAAATTTTTTATGTAGTCAAATGTATGAAGCCTTTCTTCTATGGCTTCTCGGACTTGCGTTTTAGTAGAAAGGTCTTCCTCATTGTCAGATTATTGAAAAATAGCCTCATTATCTACACTTTTATGGTTCATTTTTTACATTAAAATTTTTGACCCAACTGGAATTTACTTAAATGGTAAGACAGAGATTTAAGGTTTTTCTTCATTTTTTTGTCCCCAGATAGTTAAGCAATTATCATAAAACCATGTATTAAACAATCTTTTCCGGTATGGTCATTTTATTTATTTTTTTAATTAATTAAAAAGGTTTTATTTCAGTAATCTCTACACCCAATGTGGGGCTCAAACCCACAACCGAGATGAAGAGTTGCACGCTCCACTGACTGCGCCAGCCAGGCGCCCCTGGTATGGTCATTTTAAATGAAATTTTGCCAGCTGCAAGCATTTCACAATAGAATATATTTCTTAAAAAAAAAATCTATGTTTACTAGAACCATCCTATTTAACTAACACACATTAGTAAATGTTATCTATAATTTATATTAGTGGAAACTACACTGAATTAGAAGATAACATGGCATGTGTTACAGGAATCCCTGGATACACCTACAGTTAAAAGCACATATATCTTACTGTAAGTTCACCCTCTGGAAATCTTTAAATTGTTTACTGGGCATGCAGTATCATATTTCATGCTACAAAGTAACATCATCCAGTGCTATACAGCAATGACATTTATAATTTTTTTGGTATGATTTGCTTCCCGATCACAGAAGAAATGCTTTAAAGTTCATTATTTTGGGGCACCTGGGTGGCTCAGTCGTTAAGCGTCTGCCTTCGGCTCAGGTCATGATCCCAGGGTCCTGGGATCGAGCCCTGCGTTGGGCTCCCTGCTGGGCGGGAAGCCTGCTTCTCCCTCTCCCACTCCCCCTGCTTGTGTTCCCTCTCTCGCTGTGTCTCTCTCTGTCAAATAAATAAATAAAATCTTTAAAAAAAAAAATTAAAGAAAAAAAATTAAGTTCATTATTCTAAGTTCCTCATTTATCTATGATGTAGAAAAATAGAAGTAGAAAAATAATTTTCCTGGATTTTTACTGGTACTATGCAGGTAAAAGAAATACTGATACCATGCAGTGATAGAACACCATTAGGAAGGTGGTGAGAAGAGTCTTGGTTGATGAAAGAGCTTGTCAGAAGCTGCTTTTATCATGTCTGGAGACTTAAGGAAGCTAAGATACAGGACGCCAAGGGTGCAGGGACACTATTCCAGAAGGCTGGGTCTGAGGTTCAAAAAGCTCCAAGTAAAACGGGCACAAAAACACAGATTGCCAAATACTTGTTTCAACGCTGGCCAAATGGATGTTACAGGTCTTTACCCCTTCCTGCTGAGTATCAGATGGAGATGGAAGCTTAAAAGTGGTGATCTATTAAACTTACTAGTCAAAAACACATATTCTAATTGTAGCGTTTTCATTTTAACAGCCGCATAAGCATTGTTAATAATACTGCTTAAAAGAAATACTGTATGGACATAAAACAAAGTCTCATTTTAAGGGGATAATATTCCTACATTCTTTATAGATGAATGCACGAGGACTGAAAATTCAATTTATGCCCTCTTTTTATCAAAGATTCAATCTCTCTGAACTCTTTTAGTAATTCTCTTTCATCTCCTCCTATCTTTGTTTACATTTCTTTACGAGCTCTATTTTTTTTCCATATCACCTTCTTCACCAAGACAGAGAGTCAATTCTTTATTACTGTTAGAGCTTTATATCTGGAAAAGATATAAAGGGAAATAAGACTAGAGAGAATAGTATGGATGGCTCAAAACAGAAGAAAAGCTAATAAAAATATTAATGGGCATTTTAAAAGAATGCATTATTAAAGTTAAGCTTACTGAAATTTGTATTTAAAAACTGTGGATGCCGTGTTTGAAAAATTAAGAACATCTCAAACACAATAATGAAACTCATCTGTTAAGACTTCACTCAAAAGGATAGGAAATGAAGACTAGCTTTCCACAGAGACCCATCATCTCTCACTTGGTTTATTGCACTGGCTCCCCAACTGGTCTTCTTACTCCTGCCCTTGACCTCCAGCTTCAGTCTATTCTCAACAAAGCAGCTTGTGACCAGGGTTCTCCTCAGCTCAAAATCACCAATGGTTTCCCAGCTCAGAAAAAGCTAAGGTCTTAAAGGATCTTGTCTCACACTCCCACCACCACCCCATAACCGTGCTGATCTCATTTTCTATCACTCTTCCCACGAAGCCTCTCCTGTCTCACTTGGCTCCAGGCACATTAACCTCCCTGCCAGGAGAGCTCTTCCCTTCCAGCACTTTACATTTGCTGTTCTGCCTGGAATGCTTGGCCCCCAGATAATGCATGGTCCATTCCTTTGGGTTCTTACCCCAAAAAGTTATCTTCCCAGTAAGGTTTTTTTGGTTTGTTTTTTGTTTTCTTGGGGCATTCTTTCTGAAATTTCACCATCCTTCCCCTGACATTTCAGATCTTTCTTTCCTATTTTATTTTTTCTCTATAACACATACTACATATTTTATTTATTTATCTGGTTTATTGCCAGTCTCCCCAACCAGAATGTAAACTCCAAGAGGCACGGATTTGTCTTTGGTGTTCTCTGCTGTGTTCCCCATGTCCAGAAGAGAGCTTGGCACTCAGTAGGAGCTCAGTGAATTTTGTTGAGTAAGTGAACTGATAAATGAATAAACACATAAAAAATGATTCCAGTTTGGACTCTCACTTCTTTCCTGGTCTCCTCCCAGCTATCTCTACCTTCTGTAATCAATCCTATATACCTCAAATCAGTAGTTTACCCAACACAGGTCAGATCTTATTGCTGCTCTAAGCCACAAGAACTAAGTGGCTCACAACTGCCCAGTGAGGAGAACACAATTTTACAGGATGGCATCAAGATCCCTCTGGATAATCTTTTCTACATCTATCCATAATCTGGATAACCTTTTCTAAACTCATCTATTTATATCCCATTTTTATACCTTAACCTGTAGACGAGTATCTCCCAAACTTGAATAATTTATGGGTCCTTTTTTTTTTTTTAAGATTTTATTTATTTGACAGAGAGAGAGACAGAGAGAGAACAAGCAGGTAGAGCAGGAGAGGGAGAGGGAGAAGCAGGCTCCCTGCCAGGCATGACCTGAGCCGAAGGCAGACCCTTAACTGACTGAGCCACCTAGGCACCCCCATGGGTCCTTTTTAAAGAGGAAAAATTTTTCAATGACCTTCAGGATCACATCCAAGGACCCCAGTTTGAGAAACACTAATTTAAGAAAATGACATTCTAGTCAATAAAAATGTCTTTTAATTACAGATTATTACTGGTAAAATAATTTTAGTAATATTCTAACCAAAAGGAAAACAAAACTTTAAGATCTTCATATACCTTGTACCCTCTGAGAATAAATCCACAGACCCAGGTGCAGAAATGCTGCTGTACACAAATGAAATTACCTAACCATCCCAGACGAGGTCTATGCCTACCTGCCTCTATGCCTTTGTTCCTGTTATTCCTCTTCTCTGGAATATTCTTTGGTAACTGCAGTTATATAATCCCAGTTCTACTCATCCTTCAATGCCTACTTTAATTATCACCTCCTTCATCAACTCTTTTTGATACCCTCAGCTGAAACTTCTCGCAGTGTCTCAGGACAGTTTTATACCCCTTCTGTTGCATTAGCTACATTATTCTTCCTTACGTTATACCATTATTTTCCCGTGGTTATTATCGCTCCTAGATAGCATGAAGATTAACTTGTTCTTTTTCTATTTACACAAAAATTAGTATAGTCATTTTCCATATGACAATTAATAAATGTCTACTGAATTAATCATTATGTAGGGAAAAAAAATAAATGCTAATTTAACTATGACCCTCTATTGATCCTCTTAAAAATGGAACCGTTTAGGGGCGCCTGGGTGGCTCAGTCAGTTGAGCATCTGCCTTCAGCTCAGGTCATGATCCCAGGGTCCTCGGATCGAGCCCCACATCAGGCTTCCTGCTCCTCCCTCTCCCCTGTTTGTGTGCGCTCTCTCTCTCAAATAAATAAAATCTTTAAAAAAATTATTAAAAAAAATGGAACCATTTACTAAAAGCTTATAACCAAACATATTTAATATATTCGTAATGAAGAAAAATGTGGGAAAAAATTTTAAGTTATTTATAGAATTTACCTTCTTTTAAGCATTAAGTCTGATACAGGTATGCACCTTAGACCAGTTCCCAAAACCATAAGGAAGGATGTCAGAAGCACTGTTACCCGAAGACCTAGGAGGAAACAAAAAAAATCTGGGTTATTTTTTACATTCTTTTCATGTAAGTCCAGTGTTAAGAGCAAAGATTGTTTTACTCAATCACAGTGATATTATATTCCAGTATTTTAGCTTTTTGCTAAAACTCCACACATGGGGGAAAAAAACTCTCCATGCTGAAAATGAAAGGATTCTAACTTTAATAGAAAACTTGAATGATCACATCAAAGAAGATCCATTAGGTCCAGTTTTTCAAAATGAATGGCTACAATGTTTTATTCATATATAACAGTAAAAAAATATAGAAGATAATTTTAAAGGACTAGCTATTTTTGTTTTATACTTCCATTATAAAATTTCCAGTTTTCAAATGCAAGCTGCAGAAACTCTAAACTGCCCCTAAAAAGTTTTTTAATGTAGATAGATCATGGCTTTAAATTTTCTTGAAAAATGACAACTGGCCAATTATGTATTTTATATAATTAGCAGGACAAACTAATGCTTGTTATATGAGGTGGTCCTTTAGAACCCTTTGACTATGAATACAACAATGGTCTTTTTAATTTTCTTGACTTATCAGATGGCTTTCAATTTATAGAATGATACCATTAAAAAAAAAGGCATGGCTTAGGACTTCCTAATATGGATCAAATAGCTTTTCCCTTTCTATCTCAAATATAATCAATTATTTTAAAAATGTGTGCCAATAGTCAGTCACATGGATAACAAGGTAAAAGAGAATATAAAAATATTAAAATAAGGCAATCAAAAATAGACACAATATTCTAGGTATGGCAGAGTAGTTTAATGGGATTATAAATTCCTACTGCTGGAATGCTGCACTTCTGTTACTACTAAACTAATACCACCTGTCTGTGGCAGCCACATCACACAGGTGGCTCATACTGAGCATGTGGCAGAAGTGGCAACATTTCTTCCAATTTCTCCCAAATTCAAAGCCTCATGGAAACCATTTCATAGTGAATAGACTGAATGCAAATTTTTAAATCTAAGTTCTTCTTTTTTTCCCAGGGCTTTCTTTTTTTTGACAGCAGGGAATAGTTAAGTATTTTGGTTTTCAAAGGGCTTTTCTGCTTGAAGGTGTTAAAAACAAGACAACAGGCCCAAAATGGAGTTGCTCATGCTAAGTCTCATGTCACCAAACTGCCTTGACTTAATTTCAGTTTTGGTTCTCCCAGAAATGGAACACTAATCTAATCAATCAGTGCTAGTGAGGTAATCTGCCTGACAGACCCCCTCCTGTCCCCTGAAGGAAAATGACCTTGCCACAAGCAATCCACTTTTGCTAGTAAAACTTCCTTGTTCCCACTCCATTCTGCCTGTAAAAGTCTTTCATTTTGCACAGACCTTGGAACTCCTTTCTATATGCTAGATGAGATCCTGCCTGATTCATGAATCGTTGAATAGAGCCAGTAAGATCTTTAAATTTACTCAGCTGAATTTTGCTTCTTAACCAAGGAAATTGAAAGTCAACAAAACTATAATTATGCAGATTAAACTTAGCAAGGAAAATAAACTTGAGATCTGGATCAGGCACACACATGCCACATTGAAGATAATTTGTGATATGAACTGAGTTAGCTTTATAATATTCTTATATGATTTGAATATGATTAATACAATTTGGCAGAAGGAATATCATAGAAAATTGTGCTTCCCAGTAAGAAGTAATGCATACATACTGCTCATTTACTGCTTCTACTAAAAGAATGCAAATTTTAAACCCATATTATAGCCATGGGAAATAGAGTGTAATTAATAAATTACACTCGGTCATAAATATGCTAAACTTGCAAAGTGTTGTTCTTACAAGGTTTACATATGGGGTGTCTTATGAGATACTGATTAAAATGTTACAGATTTGGGACTATAAGGCTTTACCTTCTACATATTTATTTTTTTCCTAAGTATTTGGTTTGTAATTAAGGTAAGCAGCCACCAACTAAGCAGTGAGGTGTTGTTTATGACCATATAGTCCAAATAACCCAGTTTCCTATTATTACTGCTAAAGGCTGGCACGCTTTTCTACTCAATTATAGCTTTTATCAAATAAATGATAATATAACAGCTGAATATATACATTTCATAATAAAGAAGTTGTGAAAAGCTGATTATTAAAGCAACCTCACAGGTACAGCTTGTGGCTTTCTTGCTTATTTTTAATTGTTGCCAAGTATTACTTAATCCACCCCAGATGATGCTCAATTCTGAATAAAATGTTTTCTTTATCTCATTTGAATCTCGACAAGGCAGGACTCTATAATTTCATGTAATCAAAATAACATCAACTGACTTCGGGAAAAAGAGGTATGAGGACTCCAGGAAAATAAGCCTATGAGACATCTAGTACTTTTATGTAAATAAACAGATCCCAAGTGATTACAGTACTAGGATGTGAGTGCAAAAACCATCTGATGAAAGGTATTAGAACAATTTCAGAAAACCAAACATGATTGAAAATAAAAATAAATTCTATTCAAACATGGCACAGACACTGCAGGAAGCTTCCTTCCCATGGATGAAATCACTCCTTTGCTGGGAACATATTTGGTACAGGAATGGCATCTCTACAACAGGTGTGCTTAAAAAATCAGGATGCAAAGTTAATTGGAACACACACACACACATTCATAGTGGATGCATGGGAAATTAATTATAGTCATAAAGTTCATCTGGTAAGACTGTTTGTTCTCAAGCTCCATACTTCCATCAACTGGAGAGAAGATGAGCTCTGTTTGTTCTTGGTGAGGAGACCTCCAGTCTCCCTATCCCCAAAAGCCACAGTCTTGCCACCCCAAACTGCTTTGGAGACCACCAGGAACAATCATATTTTGCCTGTTTTTTTTCTGTCTACATCAGGCTTGGGAGATCCAAGATTCACATGTCATCCCTATACAAATCTGGCTTCATATATTCCCTAATCTGAACTCATCTCTACAGCTTCCCCAACTCCTGAAACCTTTCCACTGTGCCTGCTGGAGGGCTCACAATCAGGGAATCCGTGGAATCCCTACATTCTGAAGCCCTTCTCCAAATGTTCTCTTTACCTTCCTAATCCCACCAAAACCTCTCCCCCCCATGACACTGCTCCCCCAATACTTCCAGATCACTGTCACTTTCTCCTCCCTAAAGTTCCTCAGTCTCTTTTCTCGATGCTTTTAAGATTCTCTCTGGTTTTAAGCAATATGATTATGATGTGCTTCAGTGTAGTTTTCTTCATGTTTCTTCTGCTAGGATTCTTGTCTTAGAGTTGTGGGTTTATAGATACGGAATTTTTCTGCCATTATTTCTTCAATTTGGGGGGGCCCTCTCTCATCTCACTCTATGCCTTTCCCTTACTTTTCTCTTCTCCTTCTGGATCCCTAATTACATGTATATTAGGTCACTTAAAACGTCCCACAACTCACTGATGCTGGTGGAGTTTTTGCTTGTTTCTTTTTAGTCTTTTTTGCCCCCCTCTCTTCCATTTTGGGTAGTATTTATTGCCGTCTTCAAGTTCACTAATCTTTTCTTCTGCAATGTCTACTCTGCTATTAAATCCTGTCCTATACACCTTTTTTTTTTTTTGGTCAGATTGCATTTCCATCTACAGAAATTTAATATCGGTCTTTTTATGTTTCCTGTGTCTCGCCCTAACATGTTCATGCTTTCTTCTATCTTCTTGAACATATATAGAATATATAAAGTAGTTGTTTTGATGTTCCTGTCTACTAATTTATCATTTGTGCCATCTGGGGATCTGTTTCTATTCATTGTTTTTCTCCTCTTTATCGGTCGTATTTTCCTGCTTCTTTGCATGCTTGGCAAATTTTTATTTTGATGTCAGGAATTCCGATTTCTACCTTGTTGGATGATGGGTTTTTTTTTTTTTTTTTGCATTTCTTTAAATGTTTGTGAACAATATTGTGAGATACAGCTGAGTTACTTTTGATCTTTCTGAGGCATACTTTTAAGCTTTATTAGGTGAAACCAGAGCATTCTTTAGCCTAGGGTTCTTTTGTCTTTACTACTGAGGCAATGCCCCTATGAGTTTTCAACCCAATCTCTTCTGTATTTTGAGGTTTTCCCTTTCTGACCTTGGGAATGTGAACTATTCCTAGCTTTGTGTCAACTTTGGGAATTGTTCTGCCTATTCTTTTTTTGCTGCTCCTTTTTCCAGCATTTGGTAGTTTCCTCACATGTATCTGCTGATCGGTTATCAGCTGAAGACTGATCTGTAGAAACTCCCTGTAGATCTAGAACTTTCTGTAAAGCTCTTTTCCTCTCTGGTACTCCACCCTAAGAATTCTAGCTAAGTTGGTCTCTTACAATTCTCAACTGTCTCCTCAACCTAGGGAAACTGCAGCACTCAGTCTGGGCTCCCCATCTCTACACTGATACCTGGAAATTCTTTCATGGTGTTCATAGGGATCACCACCCTGCCCTGCCTGTTGTCCAATGTCTGAAAACTCTGTTTCATATACTTTAATTTTTTGTTTTTGGTTGAAAATTGAAGGATAAGTCCAGTTCCTACTATTCCATCATGGCCAGAACAGCTTTTGATCTAATTATATTTAATTCTAATACTCAAAACTCCTTGCTGCAGTTGTCTAGAAACTACCACACACCTGTCTCCAGGGCATTCACCCTCACTGTTTACAAATATCTTGGCTCATTATTCCTCCTTATGACAATACTTTTTCATAAATCTGGTGATTTCGAGATTCACTAGATGATCATTTCAATATCCCTGCCTCTCAATCCCGACTTCTTATTCCATGATCATGTCCTCTACCCTACACCTCAGTAGTCTTTTCTCTTGTATATACTCTGATCTAACTTTTACTATGATTGCATCCATAATATAACTCAATTTCAAGCATTCCATTCTTCAACCATGACCTCCTCTTTCTCTCTTGCCTTGCTTTATATTCCTCCATAGCATTTATCACCATCTGACATACTAAATATTTGTTTGTTGCCTAGATCTCATTAGAATATAGGCTCTGTGAAGTCTATCTTCCCAGTACTTAGCACACATTTAGGTACTATCTCCTTGAAACTTTCTTCACTTGGCTTCTAGGGTTCACTTGCTCTTGGCTCTCCTATTATCTCACTAGCTAGTCCTTTTTTGTCTCTGCTGAAAAATGAAAAGGGGTAAGAGGGTACAAAACCCATCTTAGGGAGATAACCGGTCTTCTATGATAAGCTGGCTGAGGCAGCAGCAAGGCCAGACAACTATCTACCTTTTAGGGAGCAAGATATTTTAGTACCCAATAATGCCGGTACTTACTTTCTATGTATGTAGAGAGGACATCTGCAGCAGGACAGCCAACATATGAAAGTGTATTAGCTTTCTCCTACTAAAAAGGAAAACCACATACTAAAAGAGAATTTTTACATTTATTTTTTATTGCTTCAACCAATGGCGAATATAAAATTGAATTCCCCATGTGGTTACAGGAACTATTGAAAGAATTCCTGAAGTAACTTATTTTATAAAGTGAATAGGTAGTCCCTAATTTATCTAGCCACAGATAGTTCATACAATTATAATAAAAAAGGTAAAAATTAACATTCTTCTACCATAAAAACAAGGTTGGTTAAATTTAGAAAATAATATTGAAAAATGCTCCTGACAAAAATATAAATAAAAACAAACAACAAAATAACATTTTCCCCTAAATTTAGCCAACCTTGTTAGGAATGACAGAGGAATTGTCACAGATTGGAGGAAATTAAGGAGAAATCATAACTAAGTGCAATTTGGAACCCTAGACTGAATCCCGGAATGGAAAAAAAAAAGACATTAGCGGAAAAACTGATGAAATCCAATCTATAATTCAGTTTAAAAGCAAACAAACAAAAAAAACAAAGAAAACCCCCATTCAGGGGGCGCCTGGGTGGCTCAGTTAGCCGGCTGCCTTGGGCTCAGGTCATGATCCCAGGGTTCTGGGATGGAGTCTGCTTCTCCCTCTCCCTCTCCCCCTGCTCATGCTCTCTCACTTGTTCTCTGTCTCACTCTGTCTCAAGCAAATAAATAAAAAATCTTTTAAAAAATTAAAAAAAAAAAAAGGAAAGAAAACCTCCATTCAGTACGAGAAACCTTTCCTCAGCATCTAGCACACATCCTCTGCAAAAGTACCTACTCTATCTGGAAGTTCTATGCCAGTCAAGACACATTTTCCAGGGCTGGACACCTTTTTGTTCTTAGAAGGTTCTTCCTTTACTGTTTTGAGTTATAACCTTTTGTAGCTTCACTAATTTAGTTCTTCCTTCTAGAACTACACAGAGTAAGTCTAATTCCTCTTTTACTTGACCTTCACATATTTTGTATTTTGCCTCAAGTTTCTTTGTAAATGTTGACACACCCAGTTCCCTTAATCTTACACATGATTTTTACATCATTATTCTTGTCACGCCACTTTTAAAAAGTGCTCCAGTTTGTCAATGGTCTTCCTTCTGTTTGATGCTATACTTCTATGTCTAAAACGGTCCTCCTTTGTCAGCAGCTACATCACGGTGATCATGAATCATTTACCCATACCTATGTGGTATAACTCAATGCCTTATCATTCAGTTGTATGACCTCTTTTTTCTCCTCACAGAATCACACTGGCAAGTGGTAAAGTGAGACGTCTCTTCAGAGTATTCCTCAGAGAGTCTTCATTCATCTGCCACGCTTTATCTGAGAGTCATAAATCTCAACTGACACAACCACCTAGTCACAAACACACACTTTAAAGCTGCCCTGCACCATTTTAGAGAAATCAAAGCACTCAGATCGGAGTTTCCCAAAAGCCCTGGGCTGGAGTCATCTATTATGCAAAGCCAAATACTTCCTTGTATCTGGGCATCATCAGTCTATTTTCTGACCTTTCACCCTCAACATTCTCAAATCCCTTTGAAGTCAAAGCATCAGTCATTTTGGTCAGGTGTGAAAAAACGTATAGCACGTGCACAGGAATGCTCTGATGTCCACACTGTGCAAAAACATGAACATTTAGAGATCACTTAATCTCTGCTGTTGCGTAATGGGCCTTGATGTAAACATAAATACAGTATCTGCAAAGAAGTCTCCCCATATTTGTCGCTTTAGGGACGGAGGGTTCCTGGTCAGGAATGGGATACCAGCAACACTCGGTCACCTCACATAACCCTTAAGACGAAGCCGAGGGCGGCGGCTGGCGGGCTCTGGCTCTCCCCGGAGTGACCGCGCCGGCCGGCGCTGCCCGGACCTCCTCACCTCTCTTGTCCAGGAGCCACATGAACGCGAAGCAGGGCAGGAAGCCGATGGGTCCCCACAGCACGAGCAGCGCGATGTCCCAGCTGGAGAAGCCATAGGCCTGGCGCGCCGAGTTCTGGATGGGGCCCCAGGTGTTCCAGACCAGGCCCTGCGCGAAGCCCAGCAGCGAGAAGAGCAGCAGCACCAGCCAGCGGCGCCCGTACACCCGCCCGGGACCCGGGGCCGCCGCGGGCAGCGCCGCCGCCGCCGCTTCCCGGC